ACAGAGAAGGCTTCATGATAAAGGCAGATAAATAATGAGCCATGCAGATCTCTACAGTTCCAATTAACAGGGCTACATGCAAGTATTTTTCTTTATATGGATTTAATTCCTCAGTTTATTTTTATCTCAATACATAAATTCTGAGGTTAATTTAGAATTCTGGGTTTCAATGAACCCTAAAACTCACAAAGAAACTCAACTAACATTGCCAAATTTCATGTGGTTTTGAGTCAAAACTACCAATATTCTTAGAGTTTCCCCCTAAACCAGTAAAGTGGCCCATGTTTATTTGAAATTTGGCCAAGACTAGCTCTTCCCCTCATGTTTTATAATGAAAAACTTCAAATTTCATTGCACATCAGAACAAAACCAAATCTGCAACTCTCAAATTCTTCTTCGAGTAGTGTCCCTGTGGGTGCTTCACGTCACGTGCGCATGCGCCTCTCGAGTCCTTGATCAGTTAGCAGTGTCCATGCAGCCCTCACATCAGCCCTCTGCCTCCTGGTGCCAGATACTGAGGCTATATAGGGGTACATGGGTGAACCGCCCTCAGTTCCTTCTCAACCACCTCGGCCTAAGACAGAGCCCTAGCATGTCTGCTTTAAGCATGCCTTGGCTTGTCTAGTGTCTCTATAGCTGTTAAGATAGTCATTGGCATGGTTATAGTTAGTTAAATAAGTAGTGAGAGGATTGTTTTGCTTCTCTTTTCACTTCGGGAGACTTATTTTTTTCCTGGCAGGGCATGCCTGGTTCGCCAGGTTTTAAATGTTGCCTCCGCTGCCAAGAGTGTATCCCTGGGAATGATGGCCACTCCAAGGGTGTCCATTGCTTGGGGGAGTCCCACATCACACAGAAGTGCAACTTCTGCCTGGCCCTCACACCCAGAGCAAGGAAAAAAATAAACTCAAACTGTTAAGAATGGAACGCTCTCTTCAGCCAGCTTCTGAGATAGGTCACGAGACGCCTCTCCCTCCCCCGCACCCCAATACATCTGTCTCCAGATAGATCCAGTGACACTTCTACATTGGCGCAGGCATCCTCTAAGAAGGGGAATTCTTTGAAGGCTTCAGGGAAGGCTTCCAAAAAGGGGAGAGCAGACTCTCACTTTAAGGAGCCAGATCTGAAAAAGCTCAAGATCCTGGTGAGAACTACAGTGTCCAAAGTTTGACCTCTTAGCTTGGTACCATTGAGCTGAAGGACTCCTCTTCCAGCACTGGCAGGGCCATAAAGTACCACAGCATGAAGCACAGACACTGCTCCGATAGGGCCTATGTATTGTCTACCAGCAAGGGGGGCAAGTATAGATGTTTGGGACTGGCACTGTCAAGTTCTGCCCCACCATTGGAACCTATGCATCCAGCCCAACGAAAGGTATTGATGCATGTGGCATCCTTAGGTGCTGTGGATGCTACTACCAGCTCCATCTCCATGGCGATGCTTGTGTGCAGGGCATCATAGCTCTATAGCTAGGGTTTCCAAGAGTAGTAAAGAACACTATGGAGAACCTCCCCTTTGATGGTCTTAAACTGTTCTTGGAAAACATGGATGAGTGTTTGCACACTGTAAAAGACTCTAGGGCTACTTTGCAACCGCTGGACATATATACACCTATAAATAAGAAAAGTTTTAGCAGGTTACGGACTGCCCAGAGATCACATTCTGCTCAGTTTTCCAGGTTCCATAGATCCACTGGGTGCCCAGAGAAGGATATAGATTTCAGAGACGGAGGGCTGCCTGCCCACCCACCCTCCATATAATGATACACCAATTGCTCAGGAAATATCTATTCTTCACTATAGGCCAGGATCATTTCCAATACAAGTGCTTCCCTTTAGCCTTTCCTCAGACCCAAAGGTGTTCTCAAAAGTCCTGGCAGAAGTGGCTGCTGACCTCTGGCAAGAAGCGATCTTAGTCTTCCCATATCTTGATGACTGGCTACTCAAGGGCTGGCCCTGCGAAGCCATGTTCCCTTCCAACCAGACAGCCTTTGCTCTGTTCCAGCACTTGGGTTTGTAAAAAAGTCCACCCTAACCCCTATGAAGAAGACACAGCTTATAGGGGTATATTTGGACTCACTGACATCCAGAATCTACCTTCCCTTAGACAGATTTGTAATCTTGCCAGGTCTGATATGGGCAGTTCAGGGGAACCCTTGAACCACAATGAGGAACTGTTTTCAGCTCCTGGGACACACGGAAGCTTGCACTTTAGTGACCATTCATGCAAGGCTACATCTCCCCTGCTTCCAGGGCTGGCTCAGAATGACCTACTCTCCAGTCACAGTCACGTTGGACAAACAAGTGACGATGCCTCTACAAGTGAGGAACTCTTTAGATGTGTGGAAGGATCAGCTCAGTGTCTGTGCAGTCATTCCTTTCTGTTGCTCAGCCCCATCAGGGACTTTAACAGATGCATTACTTTTGGGATAGGGAGCCACCTCAGTACCCTCACTCCTTAGGACAGATGGACAACTCAAGAAACCAGACTCCACATCAATCTGTTGGATCTGCGGCTGTCAGGAATGCTTGCCTTCATTTCCTTCTCCTCATCAGGGGCAAATCAATCAAGGTCATGACAGCCAATGTATCCTGCATGTTCTATATCAACAAGCAGGGAGGAACAAGATCCACCCCCTCCTTGTGTGCTGAAGCCATGAAACTATGCGATCAGTGCATAGCTCATCAGATATTCAGAATACCACAACCAATGTCCTCACCAGACACTTTTTACAGAATTACGAAGGGGAGCTAGACACCCAAGTTCTCTGTAGCATATTCCAAATTTGGGGACTGCCAGAGGTATCTCTCTTCACCACTTCCAGGAACAAAAAGTGTCCTCTTTTCTACTCAAGAGAGGGTCTGGGCCACCACTCCTTAGGAGATGCATTTCTTCTATCATGGAAGAAGGGTCTGGTCTATGTGTTTCCTCCAATGTCACTGATACTAAGGTAATGAACAAGATCAGACAGGACAGAGCCAGAGTTATTTTTATATTGTTGTCCTGGCAGAGACAATTTTGGTATCCTTACATGCTTCACCTTCTACAGGTGTTACTGAAAGAAGTCAATCCACATAACTTATTTGCGGAAATGGAAGAGATTCTTCCATTGGTGTTGTCATCGGTGCCACCTGCCACTTTCAGTCATCCTGAGTTATTTAAGAAATCTTGAGTTATCAAGGATCATTTGACTGCAATATCAGCCTTTCATCCTTTTGGTTGAAGGATTCTTCATGCTTGCTCATCTGATATTGTCTAGGTTTATTAAGGGCTTGGGGAATCTCTAGCCACATATTAGAAACCCTACCCTAACCTCAACCTGGTACTCAATTACCTTATGACACTGCCATTCAAACCAACGGCAACCTATTTTCTGTTGCATTTATTTATGAAGACAGGCTTTTTAGTAGCCATCATTTCAGCCGGTAGGATCGAGGAGATTGGAGCCTTGATGGGAGATCCCCTCACCCTTTTACAGCATTCTTTAAGGCCAAAGTCTCTTTACATCTATACCCCAAATTCTTACCTAAGGTTCTAGCATATTTCCATCTTAATCAATCCATTACTTGACCAGTGTTTTTTCCCCCCAAAGCCACATAGTATTCTACAGGAGTCCTTTTTTCATACACTGAATGTTAGAAGGGCATTGGCCTTCTACTTAAATAAGGCCAAGCAATTTAGGATGTCATCTAGGCTCTTCATTTCCTTTGTGGATAGATCCACAAGGTCCTCGATCTCTACTCAGAGACTATTGAGATTGATATCTGGATGTAGTATAATTTGTTATGATGATACAGGTGTTCATCCCCAGCCCCAAAGGGTGATAGCACATTGAGTCGGATTGCAGGCAACATCTACAGCATTACTCAGAAATGTACCAGTATCTAAAATGTGTCAAGGCACTACATGGGCTTCAATGCAGATGTTTTTGAAGCATTAGGCCCTGAGCTATACTGTCAGATCCAATACAGCACTTGGTTCTGCAATACTATCTTCTGGACACTTTTCCAAAGCTCCCTCCTCCATCTGGGGATACTGCTCAGAAGTCATCTGAAGTGAAGCACCCATAGGGACATTGCCCAAAGAAGAAGAAAAAGAGATTACTCAGTTTGTGCAGTAACTGTGGTTCTTTGAGATGTGTGGCCCTGTGAATCACTGCCTGCCATATTTCTCCTTTGCTTTGGACTGTTCCTTAGGGGACAGTTGGGCAGAGAAGGAACTGAAGGCAGTTTGCCTGTGCACCCCTATGTAGCCTCAGTATTTGGCATGAGGAGGTGCAGGGCACATGCACAGGCCAAATGGGCTCAGGAAGAGCATGTGCATCTTACATCAAGCACCCATACGGGAACACATCTAAAAGTGAGTAACCTCTTCTTTTTTCATCAAACTCAATTGTTTTCCAGCCAGCCCCACTTGCCAGTACACCAATGAAGCTTCCACTGGAGTTAATACATCAGTCCCTTTTCCCCTGGATGCATTTATTGTTTGAACACAAACACAGTTCAACCTCAGTCAGAAGAGGTAAACCAAGTTCTGCCACCAGGCTCCTCATAAGGCCTCTGACGCTGCAGCCTATACAGCAGATATTCTTAGCCAGATCTTTCACCTTGCTGGTATGGTGAGCCCCCTTGGTGATCCCTTCTCCGTGGTCTCTAGCAATAGCCTCCCCACTCCTTGCAGTTCTTCCTCTTCCCTCCAGCTGACCTATTTGCTGGTTTGTTTGTTTTTGAGGACCAGGTGATCTTCAACCTATTACCTCATCCCTGGCCTCACAGTATCAGATGAGAGGTGGCCAACTAATTATAGGTGTGACTGGGCCCAATTCCCCCTAAAGAACCAAATCACCCTGCCATAGTGGTCCATACCCTATTACTGCTATTTTGAAATTCTAGGTGGTTTAAAAAAAAAAATCCAATTGAGAAAGTCCAGACACTTGTGGAATTATCACGGTATGAATATATGCCTGCCTTACAGATCATCTTTCCTCTTCTCTGACAGCAATTGAAACACTGGAGGCACTCAAGCTAAAATTCCTCAGGCTTAAACCTGATTAAACTAGAGGCATAGATTGTTCTATCAATAGGCCTCAACTGTGGAACATGACACTCTCTTTTTGGTTTGATAAAACCCCGAATGTGCTCATCTTCCAGAACAATCAAAAAGTTTACAGTCCATATTTTTAAAGGTATTTAGGCTTTAAAGAAGCAGATCGGTGCCTAGTGGAAAAACAACTCAGTGAAATCAATGGGAGGTAAGCACCAAGTGATCATTTGCACCTTTAGGTACTTATATATTTGTGCAGGATTTAAATTGCAAAGGGTGGAGTTGATGGGAGGGTAAGACATAGGTTTCATTTTTGGTGAGTTTTTTAATAGGGTATTTTGTATGTAGATGTGTGTATTGGGGGGGGATTATGAAAAGTTTTTTATTTTTACATGAGCCTGAAGCTTCAGATACACATTTTAGATACATTTAAATAAAGAAATTAGACCTGTGGTTTAAAAATGTGGGGTATGCAGTACTATTATCCACTGAAAAAGCCTCGTCTTTTAGAATGTCAACAAAATGTAATCTACAGAATCAGCCCTGACTATGGGCTGGTGTTATCTGGGGAAACTAAAAGTACATGGCAGACGTTTAAACACCACAGTGCTATAAATGTTTCTGCATTGGATAATTGAAATTAGAGAATTATTGCATATTTTAATTGGCAGGATCTTGTTAAAAATAAACCCTGACTCTGGATTAGCCTTCTTAAGGTTGAAAACCTCATTGTACCTTCAAGATCTTGGCACATGCTTTTCTGCTATCTTTAATGGTTCTGTCTGAAGATAATTAAATTATCCTGTTTCTTCAGGATTATTTCTAGATCACATAGAGTGAGGCAAGTATTTTTCCTTGTAGATTATTTAATTTGAAATAAGGAAGACAATGTATCTGAAATCTTCATGAAGAAAGAAGACAGAGCCAGATTCTTTCACCTTTGCACATAATAGGGAGTACCTCATAGTGCAAATGCTTCCTTTAAATCAATTTGGGGTTGGGAGAGGGGATTTTCAAGTGACTTAGAATCACAAGTCACAGGCACATAAGTCACTTAGATGCTTTTAAAAATCCTACCCCTGATGAGTAAGATTTGGCAGCCTCTAGCCCTAGGGATTCATGCTGCAACATTCTGCATCTGAACTGAAAACATAGGATGTCAGTTGCCCCACAGCTGCCCCTGCAGCAGGTGAGGCCTCCTCTATGTTTATAGGAACAGTAGACAGAAAACAGAATGAGATCATCTCATTCCACTTATTCTGCGGTGTACTTAGCTATGTAACACGTGTTTCTCCATGTGTACTGTATTAGCACAGTGACGTAATGTACCAGCGATGGTGTTATTACACAGCACAATTCTGGATTAAGGATTTAGTAAGATTTCTTTAAAAAAAATACAACATTTTTATTTATTAAAAAAACAGTGGAGACTAATATTCCTTTAATTCTTATAGTCTGTTGCAGAACATATTTAATATTATTTTTGCAACAGTTTGTGAAGACATGTGCCAGCCCACTGGGAGGCAATTTGAACAGTTAGCAGGTGGTTCTACTTTCAACCAAACTGTAGCATGGTTTACTTGCTACCCATTCTATAGTACCGGCCATGAAGCAGAAAATGTGTGAGTGGTTTTCACTATATAGACACTCTCAAATATACGTATCAATTGCCTTTCTAACTAAATGTTGCCACAGCTTTCACAGTATTTTTCAGGTATCCCCTGTGCTAAATATAGGGGGCTTAATGGGGCTCATGTCAAAACTACAATCCTGTTTGCAGTTTGACCCAAAATGTTTGTGTTTTGTTTATTATTTATTTATTTTAGAACTGCCAGGAAACCAAAAATTCCATTAGTCACCCAGACCTACATAGGACTGGAAGGTACTTCCTCAGTCATCGAGTCCACAGTTCCCTTCTATCCCAGGCAAACTTGTCCTATAATTCCGGTCATAAAGGTATCAGCCATCATTCTACTCCTCAGCCAGGGCAAGTCAACAAGGGAGAGTAAATAACCCGTATTCTTTCTGAGTATCAGGAGAGACTGAGCAGAAAAACAGCCAATTAAACAAAAGAGTATCTACAGAAAGTGAAGTGGGCAAGTAAATCAACTATTTTCCCCCACAGTTGTTTTACATAACTGTTTTACTTTGTACAGATTTGGGGAAAAGAAAGATAGTTCTAGGAAACGGGACTATTTCTTGTTTGTTTTTGGTTAAAACCACGATGGATGTGGGTTTTTTGTTAGTTTGGCCTGCCAAAAGTAGCTTTAAACTTTAAAACAAAACCATTTGCCAGAACAGAAACTAAAAGAACAAAAAGGAAGCACTCCCAACGAGAAGACAAATCATGCTGGATTACTATTTTAACAATTACACATACAGAATTTAAGAATTCTAAATACAAATAACTCCAGTTGTTGTTTACACAAAGCTTACAATACCAAATAGCACTTATTTTCTCATTAAAGTTTTCCTTTGATGAACTATTAAAAGCTTCATGAAATAAATTAATGGAACCGCCCCCCCAAGAAAATGACAACCCACTCTACATATTGAAACTAATTGATGGAAAGAATAATTGAGTTTTTTTTAAATATAAACCCTGACCACATTCTAACAACTGAGAAATAGTGATAGATATTTGGTCACAAACTTAATATTAATATAAATATTATTACTCTGATCACCTCTATGGTACACTTTTATTACTCCTTTTCACACATGCTGCATGAGACTGTCAAAACAAGAGTAACTTAACTGGATAGGAAACAAAGTAGTGCAATATTACCAGTTTGATACTAATAGCACATCTGACACCCTTTCTTTATAATATTACATAACAGTATAAAAACATTGTGGTTCAATGGATGGAAAGAAGAAATACACCACTGTTAACAGAAAGCATTGTTTCCTTCTTGGCTTCCTCCCATCTTAACATATGTGAATCAAATAGAATGTGATACAGCTACGCATATCAAGATATAAAGAACCAATACCTTTTAGACTCTAAGGTTTTTGGGAATTGTACTGTATCTAGCACAATGGGATTCCACTCAATAATGTAGCTGAAAAGTGCTACTGCAATGCAAATAAATAATAATAAAGCCTCTGATTTTGTATTTGCTATGTCTTTAATCTACTATGCAGTATCCAAGTGGTGATTTTAAATGTATTCATCTGTACAGATATATGCATACATATCTATTCTATGCTGCAGCATGTATATTCAGCATTAGTCTTTCATTAGCATATGTGCTGTGTATTTACAGTAGTGTCTGACATTACTAAAGTGGCTGCAGACTAACCACATGAAAGGTACCTCAGCAATGAAAAATGCATGATCTTTGTTTATTTTAACTTTCAAAATAGGAATGAACATGGATTATGATTTAAAAGACATCTTTGTTCAACAAGATGAAGCAAGTTTCAAAACCTAGATAAAAAAGTTAATGTCCACCATGAAAATGTCATCTCCAAGCACCAGGATATAATGAGGTAATTAACAATGTATGACAAATAAAGTTTCATGTGATTAACAAATAATGAGGATTGCTATTTAGCACTTATTTATATGGGGCTAGAATACCAGCTGAGGGCAAAACTTAAGACTTCTCAGAAACCAGTAAAGCATGGCAAATCATTAGTGTGAATTATCCCTTTCTTAATCCTTTAACCTTTTTTTCTTTGGAATTTAATATTATTAGTTCCCACAGAAAACACTATTTTGTTACCCCTTTAACTAGCCTGTAAATAGGAAGGAGAGGGAGAGAGGGGAATTAAACATCAATTAATAGCTAGAGAGAGAACTTTAACCTTTGAAAACCACAGTCCCACAACTAAGTGAGATTTAATTGATAGTCATTGTTATGTTTTCATGTCATGCAGCTTGAATGGCTTCATCAGACGCTATAAAGATATTTGCTTTGGAAGACCATACCCAGGGACCACACATTAAAAAAGAATGTCACAATCAAGTACTTGTGAAAACTGTAATGCAATTAAGAGAAAAGAGACTGCACAATCACTGCTTAAAGCATTAAGTCTGTGGAATGTCTGAACACTTGAATATGACAAAATAAGCAGAAGACAAGACCAAGTTTTTTTAATAAATGAAGGGTTTAATCCTAAAAGGCATTTTTCAGAATCAGGCCTTCTATCGTTAGGCATTATCAGTCTTCCGTTACAAGTTAAGTGATGTCAGTAACATTTTGTTCTGCCAGGTGACGGTGCTATTGTGTAATACCAGTACTGTAAATGATCTTGTATAAAAGCTGTTGTTGTAACTTGTTTGCCGATACTTCTCCCTTTATTGTTTCATTCATTAATAAGCAAGGGAATTGTATTTTGATGTTGTTGCCCTTTTTTAGTCAAAGTTCAGGGCCTTGGGAATGTTCCAGTTGGGGGCAGAAATTGGTGATGGTGTCTGGTAATTTCTTTGATGCAGTCTTATTTACAGCAAACGTACAAGGCCTTGCTTATCCGAATGCACAAGAAATCAGAAACAAAGAATAGTTTTAGTTTACAGCCCCAAGTCTCTTCAGCCAACACCAGACCCAACAAAATAATCTCTCTAATTTTGCTTTCTTGCTTTTTGCCTCTGTTCTCCCTTCCCTTACATACACTTTTAGCCAAAACAATTTTCAGCAAAAGTCCTTCCTCCCACCCAGTCTAAAATTCCTGGGCAGATTCACATAATCCTTTAGTAGTAGGTGGGGGGGTTGTGATCAATTTATCCTTTGAGATATGCTGAGTGAAGAGTGTTGGAGTCCCACCAACGTCATCTGAGTTTTTTTAAATTCCACCCATAACAACTTTTCACCCAACACCCCCCACCTCAAACTCAGTTCAGCATGGTCCAACCTAATAAGCTATGCAAAAGAGAAAGACAATAAATATTTTAACAAATTACAAAAGATACAAGCTTAACTGTTTACATATATACAGACTCACTCTGTCAGGATATTTTCACATTACCAACACACAAGAGTTTTATTTGCACCCAAATCCCTTTGGGGCTTTTCTCTCCTGGGGTTTCCTTTCAGTGTGCTCCTGGGGTATGTCTATTGTTTCTGTGCTGGCTCTGACAGTCCCCAGCCATAGCTACATTCTCCGTTTGTGGAGAGAAGGGGCATCCAATATCTTCTGAAATGGTCCTTATGGTTTAGTCCTGGGACTCAATTGTAGTCTGTGCCCCATTTCATTTATTCAGGTCCATACTGTATAGGGTGCTTCCCAAAGTTTATCCATTTTAGGGCTCCTACCTTTTCTTTTTGTGAGGATTTTGGAACCAGTCCAGGACCTCTTTTTTAAAGGTTTCCTTCCATGGCCTAACACCTTTTCATTGACCTTTTCATTGTATATGGCCTTCATATGGCCTTTTCATTTTATCAAAAACTATCCTCAAGTTTTCCCTAGTGAAGGTGTGAGTTTCTTCCGTTTGGGATTGTGGGGCTTCTGCATAGTCCAAATAGTTCAAATTGTTCAAATCCTTTTGTTCTTCCTCTGGAACTGCATACAAGAGGTTTGCAGGGGTCCTTAGCTTATGCCCAAACATGAAGTGAGCTGGAATACACTTTGTACTTTAACTGGCTACTGTTCTATAAACCATCAAAAGAAATGAGATATGTTGGTCCCCAATATGTTGTGCTGTTATACAAAGGGAGTCAGCTGAACCCCCAAAGTCCTATTGAACTTTTCCACCATGCTATTGGATTGTGGGTGTGCGGAGGTGGTACAAATTTTGTGGATTCCTGGAAGCTCACAAATGTGTTCAAACACTTTGGCTTCAAAGTTACTTTCTTGCTTTTTGTGTAAACTCACTCGGGACCCCAGATGTGGTGAATGATCTCAGTTCATTCACTAGGGCCTCTGCTACTCTCACAGCCTCTACATTTCATATTGGATAGTCTCAGGCCATTTTGTAAAGTAGCCCATAGCAACCAGCAAATATGGATTGCCAGCCTCTATCTCAGGACATAAATGACAAATGTGCTCCATTGGTGTGCCCACAAGAAAGTGCTGCAAAGGGCTGTCCCAGTTTTAGGGGGACCATTCTTTGCAATGCAAACATCACATTTTCTGCACCAGTTTTCTACATCCTACCTCCATTTTACCCACTACACATTCTCTGTTAGCTTTTTGCAATCCCAGAATCTCCAGTAGTTTTAAGACCATGACATAACCTCAGAACCGCCTTTTTTCAATATATCTGGTACAGCTAGCCGATACCTGTACCCATCAACTGCTGGTTTCTCCCATCTTCTATACAAAATATTTCATCTTTAAACTGCAAGATTTCCCAGTGTGGTATTGTGAGGAGACACTATATTCCAGGGTGGCCATGGTTAATTTTCCAATCACACATTATCCTGATTACTCTCATTAGGCAGTTTTTAGTTGGTCTGGAGACCACTCCTGCAACCCTATCCACATTGTTCCAGTGGATGATGCAGGAATGTGGGCACTTTTGTGAATTAGAGGAAGAGAGGCACACCCATCCTCATGAGCAACTGACTCCTTGCCTACAGCAGTGTTTGCAATTAGCCTCCCAACAAGGTATCAGCATTACCATGCTTATGGCTGGGCCTGGATGTAATTGTGAAATCAGAGCACTGCAGTTTCTCCTACCTGAGGCTGTCCCTCAGGATTCCTGCCTGTAAAGAGCCATTGCAAGGAAACATGGTCTGTCCTGGCCATAAAACTTCCTCCCACACAAATAGTGATGAAAATGTTTATAGATTCAACCACTGCTAGGATTTCCTTTTGGGTGGTGCAATAATTTCTCTCATTTTACTATTAAAAACTTAACGACCTCAAGTCACTTGTGTTCTCATTTCACTCAAACCATAAGCACAAGCGTTTGTGTCAAATATGAAAGCAACTATGACGGGGGCAGTCCCAAGAGCCTTTTTCAGCTCTGACAATGCTACATCACACTCTGCTGACCACTGAAATGTTTTCCCCTTTCTCACATGAACTATGTTCTGCTTTTGTGATATTGGCAAACCCGCAAATGAACCTTCTTTAATAGAAGCCGAGCACCTCTATGACTGTTTGGGGATGGCCAATTCTGCACAGCCTCCATTTTCTCAGTCAGTGGAAACCCTTTTTGTATACTTCCCTCTTATTTCCCCGCTGTTTCTCCCTGTTGTGTTATGAAAGCAGCTAGCCACCAGAGCAATGGTACTAGAGCAGGGGTCGGCAACATTTGACACGCGGCCCATCAGGGTAATCTGCTGGTGGGCATGAGACATTTTGTTTACGTTTACCATCCACAAGCACGGTCCCCCGCAGCTCCCATTGGCCGGGAACGGCGGCCTGCGGTCGGTCAACATACACAAAATGTCTCGCGGCTCGCCAGCGGATTACCCTGATGGTAGGTTGCGTGCTGAAGGTTGCCGACCACTGGATTGGGGAACAGGATGAGAGACAACTGATAGCTGCTACTCAGTAACAATGAGAGCCACTTCTACAGCAAGAGGGGAAAACTGGAAGAAAGTTGTTTTTCAATTATACCCAAACCAGTTCTTTACTCTGGATAAGCAGCAGAGTAGCCAGGAAAGAGTCTACTTTCATCTTCTGCCTCATTTTATGGGTTGTGCCCTTCCATCTGCCAGCCAATCCCAGAATTTAATGAAGGCCCCAAAGTAAACTAATAGAAGTCTTTAAATGGGAAGAGCCTGCCCTGGGCCCATAGGAACCATGATGTTGCCTGGTGTGGGATCAATTTCCTCCCCACAGCCATAATCCACATTGCATAGCCAGCACCTCTTAGAATCCAGGATATGAGAGAACTTTTTAATCGTTGTTTTCAGACGTGGTCCCTCCAGGATTGTAGACAGGGAAGAGAATGAGAGACACTAGAGAGCTACGCCATAAATGACAAAATATTTTCCATTATTTCAAATATTTTGGATATTTTCATTAACCGAGCTACATAAGCCTTTCACTGTAATTTATGCATAATTTATGCTTCGCAAAAGTTCACTTATTCATTGTAGGAGATTAGCTTTGATAGAATGAAAATCACGCCAGAGACAAGCTGATATAGTTTCCCTGGAAACATTCATATTTGAACCTTTTTGTTGTTGTTGTGATAGCATATTCTAGTATTTAGCTCAGGGAGGAACACATCTCTACAATACTTAAGTAAAAATACAAACCCAGCCAGTTTAGAGAAGTTTGGTTTCTTCCAGACATCGTAAGTACACTGTTTACATTTAGTCTTTTTATAGACATTGCATGATTACAAACCCAGTTCCCTTTGAGATTTGTGTTCTTATATGACTGAGGTTTATAATTCAACTAAATATTGTCTACAAGAACTGTTATGCACAAACTGTAATAAAAAAAAAGCCAATAAGCATTGTTGAGCACTGTTTCCTATCAAGCTGAAAGATACCGCTGATTTTGAAAACTGAATCAAGACTGACAAAACCCAACTCCTTCACTATAAATCACAAACATTTCTGAGTGAAAGACTGAATAAGGCATAAAAAAATTACAGAATGCATGTAAAGTATCATCACCAACAAATATTGTATAGCATACATAGCTTTATAGAGATGTCGAAGTCCTGATCCAGCTCCCACTTGTAGTCAATGGAAAGACAGTGGGAGAAAGATTATGGCCCAGGTTAGCCGGTAAATAATGGACATCATTTAATGGAAATTGTTCCAATCTAAGCCAAATTATGTATTATAATAGACAAGATTTCAGGACAAAAAATGACCCCCTTCTGCTCTCTGGAGAGTGTGCCCCTGTCCCAGCTCTACCCACATCTAAGGGACCCCAGGACACAACAGGTTTCCTCTGCAAAATATATCTCTGCCAAACATTTACCAGCCCTGGTTGTGACTAGAGCTGAGTGAATAATTTATTTTTCAGTTCTGTGGCTAACTGAAAAATACGAGAAAAAAAATTGTTTTGGGTCAGCCCAACATGGAAATTTCTGACTAAAATGAAAAACTGAAAAAACCTGTTTCAGGTTGATTGAAACATTTTATTTTACCCACATTTTTGTTTGTTTGGGGTTTCTTATTTGTATTTTCCCGTTTTTGTTTCATTTTGTTTTTGTTTTGTTTTAGCCCTTTAACAAAATAAATCTAGCTAAATTTCTAGTCAAAACCTCTTTCTGAAATGAAGTTGTAATATTTCATTTTGAAAACATCAAAATGAATTTGTTTTTTGGTTTTTGTTTTTGTTTTTTGGATGAAACTATTCCCTAAATTCACAAATAGTTTCATTCAATCCAAAACTGCATTTTTTCCACAAAAACTATTCATCCA